CTGACTGGCCTGAAGTCATCCAGTGAGCTGAGGATGGAGTAAAGGTCATTTCAATGCCACCTTTAACCACCATTCTGTGTCGTATATCTCATACGAACAAAGGACGCGAGTCGGTGACTTGGTTCAGCTCATTTATTGGGGTAAAACACAAGTGGGGAGAGTGGGGAAGAAGCGCGGCTTAAAAGCACTTTCTGCCGAGTGCAGCGGCCAATCGGGTCGTTTTGAATCGCCCGCGATCGGCTCAGCCAATCGCGGTCGATTCCGAACGACCAATCAGTGCCGCGCACTCAGCCAATCCGGTGGCCATGCGCTTTAGCCAATCCAGGCTGCCGGATTTCGAGTATGCAAATGTCTGTACAGAACACCCCTCCCCTCTTGGTTTGGTCCTACGTGACGTAGTCCCGTAAGTAGGCGGGGCTCCGTATTTTCCGACTGGACTTGCGCTGGTCAGTTGTCTCCTGGCTGTCGGCCGGTTTGGGTGGGACTCCTGTCGCTCTCCGCCTCGTTGATGGAACCGCCTGGAAGGGTGAGTCAGGCCTCTCGCCGCGGCTCCCTCCTGGTTTCCCCGGGTTGGTCGAGCTGCTGGCTTGGCTGCTCCCGCTCGGCTTTTCCGGGCTGGTTGAGCTGGCTTGGCTGCTCCCGCTCGGGCTTCCGGGGCTGGTTGAGCTGGCTCGGCTGCTCCTTCCAGGTGAGGCTTCGAGTGGGTCGCTCTCCGGTTCTTCAGGTGGTGAGTACTGCTGGTTTCTTTTTGGGTGGGTTTGTTCTTTTTGTTCTTTGGGGCCTTCCCTCCCCTCTTGGTTGGTGTTTTGCCGGTTCCTTTCAGTGTCTGGTGTTTGCGTGTCGGTTGTATTTCCCGCGGTGGTTCTTGATCTCAATTGGTCGATGTGGCGTTTCCACGCTCGTCCGTCGGTAGTTTGAAGGTGGTACGAGTGTGGGCCTGTTGCTTGGGTGATCGTTGCCGGTATCCAGAAGGGGTCCCCGGTAAGGTTTTTTGCGTAGACCTTGTCTCCCGGTGCGAATGTTCTGCGTTTGCTGGTGGAGTCAGGGGGTCTTTCCGGGTTGTATGTGGGGTGCAGGCGGTCGAGCGGTGATCGCAGTTTCCTCCCCATTAGTAGCTCTGCTGGGCTCTTGTTCGTCGTAGTTCTCGGGGTTATGTGCTGAATTAGTAGCATCCGGTTTATTTTGTCTTGTATGTCCCCGGTTTCGATCTTTTGGATGGTCTTTTTTGTGAATTGGACCATTTTCTCCGCCGGTGCCGTTAATGCGTGTCGGATCCCTCGTTCTGCCAAGAATTTTTCGAAGGGTAGCGCGGTGAACTGGGGCCCGTTGTCTGACACGATGACATCGGGAAGGCCGTGGGTTGCGAAGAGCTTACTGAGTTCTCTGATGACGGCGTCTGTGGTAGTTGTCTTCATGTTGCTTACCTCCAGCCAGTTGGAGTAAGCGTCTACGGTTACCAGGAAGGTGTGTCCTCTGGTTGGTCCCGCGAAATCTACGTGGATTCGGGACCATGGCCCCCGAGGGGTTTCCCATTCCAGGATCGGGGCGGCGGGGGGGGTTGGTCTTGATTCCTGGCACTGCTTGCAGGAGGCCACCGAGGCTTCGATCTCCTTGTCCATCCCTGGCCACCAGGCGTGACTTCTGGCCAGGGCTTTTGTCCTAACGATGCCGGGGTGCCCTTCGTGCAGCATGCTCAGGACTTCTTTTTGCAATTTTTCTGGAACTATGACTCTGTCCCCCCACAGTAGACAGCCTTTTTGCGTTGATAGCTCTGTTTGTCAGCTCCGGTAAGCTTTGAACTCGTTGTCCACGTCCTTCTCCGGCCACCCTTTTCCCACCCATCTTAGGACCTGCGCCAGACGTTTGTCTTTATTGGTTGCTAGGGCAATGTCTGACGCGGTCAGGGGTAGGTTGGGTAAGGTCTCGATGCTCAGGGTGGATGTGGTGGGTGCTGGGTCAGCGTCCAGGGTGGGCAATAGTGTGCGGCTGAGGGCATCCGCGTGCGGGATTGACTTACCGGGGTGGTGGATTAGCCGGTAATTGTAGGCGGCGAGAAATTCGGACCACCTTGTCATCCTTGGGGAGAGGATGATTGGGGTGGCCCGGTCTCCCGCCAGTATTCCCAGCAGCAGTTTGTGGTCCGTGATTATGGAGAAAGTCCTGCCGTAAAGGTATTCGTGGAATTTCTTTACGGCTGCAACGATTGCTAGAGCCTCTTTGTCCAATTGGCTGTAGTTTCTTTCGGGTTTTGAAAGGGTCCTCGAGAAAAAGGCGATGGGTGCTTCTTTTCTGTCGGCGAGGGTGTGGCTGAGGACGGCTCCTACGCCGAAGGGTGATGCGTCGCACGTTACCGTGATGGGGAGTGTCTCGCTGTACTGGATGAGGACAGCGTCCGATGTGAGAAGGTCCTTGGTTTTGTTGAAAGCATCCTCTTCTCGTCTCCCCCACGTCCAGGTGGCTGCCTTGTCGAGCAGCCTATGCAACGGTTCCGCCACGGTCGCCTTTTGGGGCAGGAAAACATTGTAGAAATTAATCAACCCCAGGAACGCTTGTAACTCAGTTTTGTTTCTGGGTTTCGGGGCTTCTTTGACGGCTTTTATTTTGCCCTCGGTGGGGTGGATTCCGTGCTGATCTAGTAGGTACCCCAGGAATTCGACCCGTGCCGTGCGCAGTTGGCATTTCTCCCTCTTAACTTTTAGTCCTGCACTTTGGAATCTTTGCAGTACTTCCCTTAGGCGGCCCTCCAATTGTTTCTGGTCGGCCCCGGCTGACTCCGAATTGGAGCCTCTTGCAGCGGAATGCCCCTCGGTGTGTGACTATAGTCTGCGCTTCTGTGGTTGCCTCGTCGACCGGCAGTTGCTGATAGGCTTGGGCCAGGTCGAGTTTGGCGAAAACCCTGCCCCCCCCCCAGTGAGTGTAGAAGGTGTTGCACTACTGGGACGGGGTAGGCGCTTTGTTGTAGCGCACGGTTCAGGGTGGCCTTATAGTCCCCGCAGATTCTCACCGACCCATCTGGCTTTATCGGGGTGACTATGGGGGTCTCCCATTGGGCATGGTCCGTTGGCTCGAGGACTCCCTGCTCGATGAGCTTATTTAATTGCTCATCGATTTTGGGGCGGAGGGCAAAAGGCACTCGCCGGGGTTTGAGGCGGATAGGGGCAATGGTGGGGTCAAGGCTGAACGATATTGGGGGCCCCCGGTACTTGCCTAGGTTGCCGTCAAAGACCTCTTGGAACTCGCGCACGAGCTGCTCCTCCCAGTCCGCCTCGGCGACGTGGTTGGTGCCGGTCACTTCTAGTCCCAACGGCGCGAACCATTGAAGTCCCAGGAGGCTGGGGCGGTCTCGTTTGACGATGGTTAGGGGAAGTATTTCGGTGCGCCCTTTGAATGTGACCTTGAAGTGCCCGGTCCCTACCACGGGGATGCGATTTCCCCTGGTAGTCTTTGAGGATGAGCTTCTGGCTCTCCAGCTCGTGCCGCTTCATGGAGGGTACTAGCCGCTTAATTTCCCGCCACGCGACCATGGATAGGTAAGATCCGGAGTCAACTTCCATCTTGCAGGGGCGGTCTTCGATGGCGACCTCCACGTGGACCTTCCGGCCATCCCAGTTGGAGGAATGGCTGACGATGACCGTCTGGTGCGTTTCCTCGCGCTGGCGGTTTTCGTTGAAATGGCGGCTCCTCGCTTCCCGGCTCCAACGGTTCTCGCTATCCCGATCGCGGTTCCTCGGGGGGGTGCTGTCGCATCTGGCATTGTCGCATCTCCGTGGGCTGCCGTCTCGGTGGCGGGGGCTGTGGTTCCGTTTGAAATGGCAGACCTTGGCGATGTGGCCCCGCTTGTCGCAATGCCGGCATATTGCATCAAAGAACTGGCATTCCGACCGCGGGTGTTCGCCGGCGCACTGGAACTTTGATTTTCGGTTCCGTGGCTCGCGCCGGTCGCGTCCCGTCTGCAGCCGGTGGATGTCCTCCTCGTCATCTTCTGAGTCGGAGGGGGATTCGAGATCGCCATGGTGTGTGGAGGTGGCTGCTCGATGGTCGAATCCGGGCTGGTTCTCGGGGGTCGCGGTCGCTTCGGTCATGGCGGGTCGCTCCGCGGTGCTGGCTTGCCGCAACTGGGCCGCTGATTTCCGGGTTGCTTCTGCTGCGGTGGCTTCGGCAAGGGCGTCGGCGAGGGAGATGTCGCCCTTTGCCATGATCCGGCTCTGTAGGACGGGGTCCCGGAGGCCGAGGACGACGCGGTCCCGCAGGGCTTCATCGAGATCGGTGAACCCGCACAGGCCCCCGAGGTCTCTGAGGTCGGCCACAAAGTTGCTGACGCTCTCCCCTTGCTTCTGATCGCGGCGGTAGAATTCGTGCCGGCGGATGAGGGTGGGCACGGCGGGTGCGTAGTGGCTCCTCAGCAGCGGTTCGAGATCAGCCCAGTCCATGGCCTTTACGTCGAGCGGCTTGGCGAGGGCTTTTGCCATTTTAAACACTGCGGCCCCGCAGTGTGTGAGGAAAACGGCCCTTTTCCTCTGCCCGTTCGCGTCCTTGAGGTTGCTACTCTCCAGGAACATGAGGAATCGGTCTATGTACGATTCCCAATCCTCCGTAGCTTGATTGAAGGGAGCGGGTGGCACGTTGCCGCTGGCCATGCTGCCGGTTGCGGTTTCGTGGGCCACGTGCGGTGTGGGACTTGTTTTAAAATCCCACCCTCGTCGCCAGTGTCGTATATCTCATACGAACAAAGGACGCGAGTCGGTGACTTGGTTCAGCTCATTTATTGGGGTAAAACACAAGTGGGGAGAGTGGGGAAGAAGCGCGGCTTAAAAGCACTTTCTGCCGAGTGCAGCGGCCAATCGGGTCGTTTTGAATCGCCCGCGATCGGCTCAGCCAATCGCGGTCGATTCCGAACGACCAATCAGTGCCGCACACTCAGCCAATCCGGTGGCCGTGCGCTTTAGCCAATCCGGGCTGCCGGATTTCGAGTATGCAAATGTCTGTACAGAACACTGCAGGTGAACAGGAAGGAGTGTCATCCATTCTTCCCAGAATTTACAGCTGCTGTGCAGAACATAAGTCATAATCACTGTCAGAGGAGTTATCCAAAGGGCTGGAAGATCTGTTGGCTGCCCCTTCCAAAGCTGGAACATGGAGGATGAAAAAAACAACAACCCCAACAACATTCAGCATGGAATCACATTGGCATGAAACACCAATTGGTGCCAATAGGTTACCCCTTCCTATATGATTGAAATATTTGCATCAAAATGATTTATCTTAGAGCTACAAAAATGGTTAGGGCAACAAAGATGATCAGAAGGCTGGAGGCTAAAACATATGAAGAAAGGTTGCAGGAATTGGGTATGTCTAGTCTAATGAAAAGAAGGACTGGGGTGACAGGATAGCAGTGTTCCAGGATTTGAGAGGCTACCACAAAGAAGAAAGTGCAAACTGTTTTCAAAGCAACAAAGACAAGACAAGAAAAAATGGATGGAAACTAAAAGGAGAGAAGCAACCTAGGACTAAGGAGAGCTGTACAAAATATAGCAAAAAATAAACTATGAAAAAAATTATTTATGGACACTAGGTGGAGCACAAGGCAAGTTATAGAGAGAGATGCACTCAGAGGATTTTGCTTGAACACAAACCATTGGTTTATCTTTGCCTTATAAAGTTGTCTCCAAGTACAGTCTGATGCCTGGTGACTCAAATCTTTGTCATTTTCTTAGAATGGTACCAAAGTGGATTGCTATTTCCTTTTTTCAGAATGCTTTTCCCAATCTGACTTATAGCCCTGGATTTCCCAAGGGGCAAAATCTATCCAAATATTAGCCAGGTACTGGCATATTGATATTATCCCATAGGCTTAACTGTATATCCACTATGCACAAGTAGTCCTTGTTTAGTAACTGCCTTGTACTGTGACGTGCAGTTGTGATGAAAAAGTAATTTTGTAACCAGTCATCACATTTATGATCTTTGCTGGTCTATAAAGGAAAGAAAACTAAAATAAAACGTGAAACACAGTTGCAGTTTCACTTGGGACTGCTTCATTTAAAGACCTAGTTGCTGATTCAATTGTGGTTGCTAAATTAGATTTCTCTCCCTCTCTCCCTCCCCGCCCCTCTCTCTTCTATCTATCTATCTATCTATCTATCTATCTATCTATCTATCTATCT